CCGGAGCCTGTAGACACTCAGACAACAATTATAAATGCTCAGGAGGAGGAAGCGGTGAGTGCCTCTGTTTGAAGATGGTGGATGTAAGAATGTGTGTCCCATGCTGAACATAAAGCTGAGAAGGACAAAATCCAAAGTTTAATTTTGAAAAAATAAAAAAAGTCAAGCACAACATAATCACGGATAATTTTTTAATTTTTTTTTTTTTTTAAACTTGATGAAACATCTTGTAATGTTTACTTGTCTTCCAGAACAAAACAGCCACTGCCTACGTTGAAGCATCCAAGGCTCGTATCGCTCAGTATGAAAAACAGGTGAGCCTTATACTTTTCATTTGTTATTTTTGGACAAGGTAAGTGACATTTAACTTTTTCAACACCATCTTTCCTTAAGCTCAAACATCAGGCTATTTTCCACTAGCATCTACTTGACTTGACTCAGTTTTGCATTAGGTGTACCTGGCAGCAGTTTGTCAGGAGCTGGAGCAGAAACACAGGAAGTGATGACGGGATTTTCACTTGCCTTGCACCTGTTAGATCAGGTTAAAGTATCATAGCCACACCCGAGACAACACGTGACTGCTGGAAAAAGTGCACTGGGGCGCACAGCGTTAACATCACAGAATTAATTAGCAGAAAAGGCAGTTTGGAGCTCCACCTGTTTGAGGTGAAGGGCAGGCTTCAGATACTCTGTAATTATTATAGCATTTATCCAAGTTGCAATGGCAGCCTCCACTCCCTCCTCAACACTTATACTCCCAGAAGTACAAGTATACGTATATATACGTATACATTATTAACTCTGACAGCCACAGTTTAATTTCAGGCTGGCACACATTCAGAGACAGAGGAATATTAAATAAATTGGCAGTCCAGAACAACTCTCCTCCAGTCAGTGATAATAATGATAATAATAATGATAATAATAATGTATACTTTATTGATCCCCGTGGGGAAATTACTTGTTTTTTCTCTGCATTTGACCCATTCACTCAGTGAAGCAGTGGGCAGCCACTGAGCAGGCGCCCGGGGAGCAGTGTGTAGGGACGGTACCTTGCTCAGGGGTACCTCAGAATAGCCGTTCAGTGGATTCAAACCCCTGACCTTCCAATCATGGGGCAACCACTTTACTCTGTATTTATCAGATTCAGGTGGATATTCAGTAGCACCCAGTCTTTCTGAGTATTGGGTGTTCTTGGAAAACTGGCAGCACATTTTATTCTGAAGGAGAGAGAAATCTGCTGAGACATTTCCACTAAGGCCTAGTAGGGTTTATTAGAGCCATGTTTTTCTCTTTTTTTCCTGATCATCTTTTATTTCTTTCCCAGCTGGAAAAATTCAAGAACATGATCCCATTTGACCAGATGACGATTGAAGACCTGAATGACACATTCCCAGAAACAAAGCTG